TATCTATCGTGGGATGAGACTCGCCACTCCCGTCAATCCCACGGTTTAAAAATTCTGACTGGCATTTGTGACATAACCTATCACTACTCCGCTTGGCGACGCACTAAACGCAAACACGCGACTGTTCTTTCCTCCCGTCCCAGAGAGTTACATCTACATCGGGAATTCGTAAGATGTGTTCGCAAATACGATTCTAGTTAAATCAAACCGAAATTCAAATCGAAATTGTGAAAAGAGAGAAGCGAGGTAAGTACACGCGACTCCATACGCGTGGTATGGTCATTGACGCATCAGGTGTCAGTCACCTCGAAAGGGTACGCGAGTCTCACGTGTGCGCCTTGTACGATCGTCCTTAAGAGCAATCTCGAAGCACGTGTCGCGATTTCAATCATCTTTCCGCACGCGTTCTTACGCATCGCATATACATTCGTATGCACCCGAACGAAACGTAATTAAAACTCACCAAGTTTTTCCTGGTACGCGCGTTGTCGCAGATTCTCCTTGCTCGTCCTTCTCTCGTCTCGTCGTTCTCTCCTGCTCGTCCTCGCCTTTCACTATTTCGCAACGTGTCAGCGGAGGAATTGGTCGGAATATACCAGATTCAGGGCAGTCACTTGTGTCACGACTGCCGTGCACGATAATCACTACGATGAAACCGAGAGGCGAACAGAAACGTCGCACAACCGTGTACCGGTACGAACACACTACGAAACGCGGTACGAACACGACTGCTCCATACCGTGCCATAGATCAGCTGCTACTATCGTAGCGCTACCGCGACGTACGGCACGCGCCTGAACTAAGTGGTGGGGGAAGGGCGGGAACACGCTAGTCAAGTGTAATATTGGTCGTGTTTCGAGGTCGAGACCGTATCATCGATCCGAGATTGCCAATGAAAATAAAATCGCTGAAACGAAATTTGTTGTCGATTAGTGAAAAAGGACATGTATGTCTATCTACGCATGTAAAACTAACAAGTCATATCGTATATGCATTCAATTAAATTCTCAAACATAATATGGATTGACTCTGAATTTTAAATAAAGGACATCTATTTTTGAAACGCTGGATTGGTATAGAAATATTTAAAAAAATGTTTGTTAACGTAACAAATTTCATTTATTTTTTACTTACAATCGGTAAAGTAATGCTATTTCTTAATTATCGTTAGTTGATAAATATTTTATTTGGAAATGTACCTGCGTGATATCAATGATAATGTACATCTAGTATTGTCACAGAATCTTCTTAAAAATTACTATTGTTCATCGTTTTGTAAAAATTTAATTTATAATTTTCGTAAACATACCTTGTATTGATAAGTACTTCTTTAACAACCATCACCACAGACGAGCCACAGACGATTGAGGTTACAGTTTGTTTCTCGTAACTTTATAGTCTGTGACGTAATAAACAGTGACTTAATTCATGTGTCTTACAAATAAAGAAAGCATGGCAGTATTTATTAATTATATATAAAAATATAAATATATAAATTGCAGTTAAATATTAATTATGAAAAGATATTTTTATAAACGAATGTTATAAATTGTCAGAGGTAATATAATTTCCTCGAAATCGTGTTCTTTTTTATTACAGATATTATTTGCATTTTCCATTTTTTTTATTTAAAACAGTACGTTTCATTTATAGTGTTTATCGCATGCATTTATCTAAAAAGATAAGGGATTTTATCATTCTCGAAGATACTTCATTGACAACATAACCTAACATTTTGCATAGATTACATATCATCATTTCAAGCAAAACTGGACTGTTGAAATTAATTAAAAATTATGGCTTGTGATTCAAAAATAATGTGCTTTCGTCACTGTTGTTCAAAAAGTATATTCTGTAAAACTGTTCCAGAAGTATGTCCAATTTGTCAATTACGTATTACAGATTATATGATAGTGCCTTTTCTTATTCCATTTCCATACACAAATGCAACATGTGAACCAAATTCTATAGTAGTAAGACCAGCTAGTGGTAATTTTTTAACCAATTATCATATTGCAAATGACTTACACATAGGAATAACTAATACAAATGGATTTGTTTTTGAATATGACAGAGAAGGTTTAATATTGTGTGATTGTTCAAAATGGACAAATTGTATTGCAATAAATATAATTCCTTCCTCTTGGGAGGATCAATGGAACGAAACATTAAAAGTAATGTTAACAGACTCAAAATGGAAATCTGAAAATTATAATGAAACTTCAATGAATTGTTTTAACTTTGTTATAGAGTTTATAAATAATTTGAAATATATGAGCTTAAATTTTATAAACAAAGAAACTATATGTGAAATGTTAATATTACCAAAACTTAAAAATGCACTTACATATAATTTGTTATTTGCAAAATTAGAAACTAATGAATTTTTTATATCTTAAGAAAAATATATTTATTTGTTGCATATATATTATCATACATGTATTTATATTTATATTTTGTATCTTAAAACCATGATATACATATGTTATATATTTATAATTATTGCAATAAACATTTTTATATGTATTTAATAAACTGCTTCATTCTTTTATCCTAGGATTAACAATAAAACTTTAACATTAAAATGAGTTATAACAAGTTCAAATTGCCCTTATTGGGCAGAAATTATAAACAAAGATTTCTTCAATTACTAAGAAATCTTTCATCTGGCAGTCAATATAAATTTGATGTTATTGTTATTGGCGGTGGTCATGCTGGAACAGAAGCTTGTACAGCAGCTGCTAGAATGGGTGTAAATACATTATTAGTTACTCATAAAAAAAGTACAGTAGGTATGAATTATATCTACAAATATATGTTTTATTTCTCCTTTCATATCAAAGATCACAAAAAATTAAGATATTTATTTAAGATAATTTTTTATAATAATTTTATAGGAGAAATGTCATGTAATCCATCCTTTGGCGGAATTGGAAAAGGAAATCTTATGAGAGAAGTAGATGCTTTAGATGGAGTTTGTTGTCGTATATGTGATATTTCTGGAATTAATTATACAGTACTAAATAAAAGTAAAGGACCAGCTGTATGGGGATATAGAGCTCAAATTGATCGTGACTTATACAAGAAACACCTACAGAAGGAACTTTTCAATACATCTGGTTTACAAATATGTGAATCTTCTGTGGAAGATTTAATTGTACATGGAGATTCTCCAAGTTGTCATGGAATAATTCTTAGTATGTTTGTTTGTTTTTTTTATGAATATATGTTATTGGTTTTTAAAAAATAAGATATTTAGAAACAGTATATTGTAGGAGATGGAACAAAAATATACAGTGACGCAGTTGTGATAACAACGGGTACTTTCCTAAAGGGTCAAATTAATATTGGATTGGAAAAAAGACCTGCTGGCAGGTTGGGTGATGAACCTAGCATTGGATTAGCTAACACATTAGAAAGGATTGGATTTAAAATAGGAAGATTAAAGACTGGTAATTCACACATCACATTTTGTATAATTTATTTACAAATTTTGAAAGTTATAATCTTTCAAATATTTTTCTAGGTACACCACCGCGATTAGAAAAATCTACTATCGATTTTTCGAACCTTATAATTCGTTACCCAGACGAAGTGTCAACACCATTTTCATTCATGAACGAAACTGTCTGGTTACCTGTAGAAAAACAGGTAAACACTTATCTAACATATACAAACGAAGCTGTCTCAAAAATTGTAAAAGATAACCTCCATTGTAATGTACATGTTACGGAAGAAATATCAGGACCACGGTATTGCCCAAGCATTGAAAGCAAAGTTCTTAAATTTGAAACAACAAAACACCCAATTTGGCTAGAGCCTGAGGGTCTAAATTCATCTCTAATATATCCCAGTGGATTATCGTGTACACTCCCAGCAGAGAAACAAGAAGAACTTATTAAATGTATTCCTGGATTAGAAAATGCAAGAATGGGTAAATCGGTTTTCTTTATATTGCATATTTTATGTTTTAAATTATATCAATACAATATTGTTACAGTAAAACCAGGTTATGGAGTTGAATATGATTATATTGACCCAAAAGAATTAAATGTTACGTTAGAGACCAAAAAAATTCCAGGGCTATTTCTTGCTGGACAGATAAATGGTACAACTGGTTATGAGGAAGCAGCTGCACAGGGGATTGTAGCAGGTGTCAATGCTGCGGCTAAGGTCTCTTTTATATATTATTTATTATAAATCGTTTTAAAGTAATAACGACGACAGTTGTCACTTTATTTCGTTGAATATTTACTTATTAGGTTCTTAATAAAAAGCCATTGATAATAAGTCGTACAGAAGGTTATATCGGCGTTCTCATCGATGATCTTATTACACATGGTACAAATGAACCATATAGAATGTTCACTAGTCGTTCAGAATTTCGATTAAGCTTACGACCAGATAATGCAGATCAAAGGCTCACTAAAAAAGGATATGACAGTGGTTGCGTATCGGAAGAAAGAATGGAAAAAACAGAAACAGTTTTATCCAAATTAAAAGAAAATATAGAATTATGTAAAAACGAAATTCATAGCCCTACGAAGTGGAGTAAATTATTGGGTACTCCACGTCCTAAGAAGACTGAGGGTAGATCTGCTTTTGAATTACTACAAGTTTATGACATTGACATATTTATCAAAGCGCTTCCAGACCGTTTTGGACACTTTGCAGATGATTCGGCCATCGCAAAAAGATTAAAGGTAACATATCTTGTTGTAAAAAATGTTCTTAAGCTAATGCAGCTTGTCATCTTTTATCGTAATCAATTATTCAAACATAGATAGAAGCATTATATGCAGAAGGTATAAAACACCAACAGGAAGAGGTTAATGAAATTCGCAAAAATGAACAAATGTTTATACCATCATCCTTCTACAATAACTTGTAAGTTTACTTATTAGAAAATAGAAATTAATATCTATCAAGTGTAGTTTTCTTTACTCTTTTACTTTATTAATAATTGCCTATTTGTTTTAATACAGGGGTCACTTGAATTTATCCTACGAGGAACAAGAAAAACTCTTACAGTTTCAACCATATACAGTAAGTACATAAGTAAATCTGCATAACTTTCTTACTTGTTGCACTTGTATTATTGTTATTTTTTTCTCCATAGATTGCTGCAGCCAGCCGAATTCAAGGAATAACTCCATCTTGTATTTTGCGTTTAATATATTATATACGAAAAAATAGTCAAAATACAGCATTTGTAGCAAATTAATCGAAATAAATAACTTATTAAATTGTATGTTTTATGTGTATTTATTTATTATCAACGATAAGAAATTATTCATCTAATTGAAACAAAACAAAATTCATATAAAACGTTCATTCAAAGTCGAGCATCCAAATTTTTTAGATGTCAACGATCAATCTTAGACATTCATCTCAAGACTACGCAAATAGGAGATACTCTCTTGTTTAATCACCGGATATACCGTGTCAATGACCGTCAATCTTCCTTAAATAGAAACTTGCTTACCGTTTGACAAGAATTATCGAAACTCCATGTTACTCGAGATAGTTGTCATTACAAATTTATTATATTATACCGCATGTCAGAACTCGGCTCGTGCACATACGCGCCTCATAATAGAAATTTTCGGAGAGACGAAATTCAATTGCGGCTACTTGTCAAATACCCTCGTTTAATAAGACTGAAGTAATTGTTTCTAACTTACAATGCGGTCGAAGTTTCTGTTTCGGCGCGGCTAATGTCAGAGTCCATGACAAGGAAGTTTGTCTGATTGAATTAGAAAGGGCTCGTCCAGCTTCAAACTTCTCAATACCGAATTGATGAAGTATACTCAGGGTAAACGTCGTTACGAGATTACTGGTATAATCAATTTACTCGCTGAAGGCACGCACGACATATCCTCCATGTTACTTCGAATCTTAGAACGAATACCACGTAATACTTATAGCGTCAAGAAGACGAGAGTCACTTTGACGTCTATATTTAACGACATTTGTTTATTCATCTACAAAGGAAAAAAGGAAATCAAGAGAGTAGAATAACTTGTGGATACACTGGGATTAGGAGATAAATTTATCGGATGGTAAATCGAAATTTCAGATAGAAACGGAAATTATACTAACAGTTATCATTTATTACCATTAGTGCAATAGTAAATACTGTTACGATACATTGTACAGGAATGGTGTACGATACAGGATCGTTGTTGTAATCATAAATTTCTCTACCATGATAATCCGGTTATTCTCTCTATATGGTTAATCGAACCAAGACGAGCTCGCCACAAACTCGTCCTCTAGTACATTCGTCGAGTTAATACTATTGTCTCTCTATAATAGCCTCCGTATATTCGAAGAATCAATCTTTCCTCTCGATGCAACAGTTTCCGTGAAACGATTTCTCGTCCGATCCTTCGATCTACTACGATAGAAGATATAACAACGATACAAAAAGTGACGAACTATTTTGGCCAAATTTTATGAGAACTTTCTACCACGCAGAGAAACCAGTGTCGAATCCGAGGTATCGATCAACTCGATAATCAATATCAATCAATATCATTCAAATTCCAAACGACGCATCCTCCATAAAAATTTCAAATCGATGACTTTCTAAATCTATCCCAATGATCACGGTTTGCATATCAAGCGCGTTTCACCGTGGCTGGGAACGTCCACGATGTTAAATTCAACATTGGCTTCTCCGCGCTGCGAATGCACACACGTAAATTACGCGAAGGCACGCGGTCCTCGATAATCGCTTAAACGTCTTGGCCGATCGGATTCCGAGGATTTTCTCCCGGAACGATCGCCAAGGTTGTTCTTTCTCCTTTTCTCTTTAGGCGATCAGCATCGTGCCCACGCCGTGATTCACGCGCCACCTCCTTAATTCTAATTCTCTATACTGGCAAGCTACTCTGTACGTTTATACGTTTTACGTGTACGTATGTATGTATGCATGTATGTATGTATGTATGTATGTATGTATGTATGTATGTATACGTGTACCTACGACTATAACGACTACTTCGAATAAATTAGTTTTAAGGCTACGCTGTTCCACTTCGTTTACCGATTACTCTAACTATCCGACGAATTCTCTGAATGTCGAATTAATGTACATTGAGATCCGTCCCAACGATCAGCTTCCTCCCGGACGAAAGAACAATTTCTCCACGAGTAGCTGGTATTATTCTCGAATCTCGCAGCTGATCGCGCACGACGGATGCGAATAACTTACAATACGCTTATTGTATATTACAAGTAACATAATGACGGGAGAATGTTTATCTACAAGGAGACGCAACGACCGGCACACAATCGATACGAGCACGATCGCCGTCGATTTACCATCTAGCTCGATCGCTGAACGCGGGATTAATTGATCCTTGTGAACTCGCGCAATCGAGCGAGATGCGAAATAACTCGCGACGATCTGCTGCACAACGGTGTCCGCGGCGAGCAACGAACAGATGAAACGGAAAAGCTGCTGCAACTGTCGCCGGCTCGTTACGCATTGTTCGGCCGCGATTATACACAGCAAGGGATTTATAACGAAGTTACTGCTCGTTAATACGCTAATTATACAGTGCCGTTCACACGCTCACGTAATTATTCGCTCTGTGCACACACGCACGCACGCACGCACGCCACATGGACAACAATGTCGACAAAAGGAATCGAACAATTTCACATTTCGTTATTATTCGCGAAAGATGAAGGGTTAAGATTAATTTCTATCTTCATCGAACACGCGATTACATGCACGTCGAACGAAACTTTGACGACACTTTGCGCTCCCACTCTTACTCACACAAAAAGAAAAGGAACTAATATGATTTTAGAAACGATCTGTTCCTCTGCGAAGATCAATCGTATAAACGGCGACGACGAGGTTTCTTCGTCGAGGATAGTTCCGCTTTAAACCATTGTTATCCAGGAAATTTACGCGCAGGATTTGGTACCATTGGCAGGGAGGAAGTTCGTATTTGGAAAACAGTGTGTTGGACTATCTTCGCAGAGAGTTCAAATGGTTTCGGTTAACATGAGCGAACGGTACATGGCTCAGTCTCTTGAATGCACCTGAAGAAACAATGACAATGATTACTCTACTCCACGTACACGCGTCGAGAGTTACGCGAATGTGTGGTCTAAAGAATAGCAAACCCGAGTACGAGGTACTAACTCTACGCAGACGTGAGACGGTTTTTATACGGTGCGTGCTATCGCAACCGGCGATTTCCCATGACATTCGTCTATAATCTTTGCAATTTGCAGTTTAACTTCAAAGGAGTGGGGGGGGGGG